AAATTTGGGGAAAACTTTTGTTGAATTTTTGAGGCAAATGCTCCCCTCTCACCCAAAGTAGCCATAGTCCCATCACTTAAAGACAGTCATTGTCAACATTTTGATATATTTCCTTTTAGCGTCTTTAAAATGTATATAAAATACAGTCATCAAATTGTGTGCAACACAATCATTTCTGTATTTCTGACATTAAAAGTAAAATATGCTCCTTTAAAACACTGGAAAGAATAGAAAAAGGAGGGAGGAAATCACCTATAATTCTTATCACTCAAGGGAGACTTGTTACAATTTTGTGTCATTTAGTTTTTATCTTTATGCATTTTTGTAAACTTTTACACCGTATGTAAAATTTTCATTCTACTTTTTTCAGTTAACATTATACCATACCCATTTCTCCAGTGCCGTTAAAAATACTTTCCCTATCCTCAAAGATGCTTTCAGTCATATGGGAAAGGTGGATGTGGACCAATGGGCAATGTAAACAGAGAACCCAGAAGCCAAGCAGATGTACAACACAGATTAGAGTTAACTTTGGGGATAAACATAAAATGGCACTACTTGGAATTAGCACTGATACTGACTATATATAACCAGACATTTTTTCCCTTTAATAGTATTTTTAAAGATTTAAAAGTTATTATCTAAATTAGAAAAAATATATTCTTATTAACAACTTTTTATAACTGTAAAAGCTGTAAGTGGACTTAGTAAAATATTAAAACTGTACCAAACAGTACATATTTAAAAGATATGTAACTACTTACTGTCCCATAACACTTGGCTACAAATTTGTTATGTTATTCTAGGCACATACACTTTTTTTTTTAACACAAAGGGGGGTATTTAAATATGCTCAGTGTTCTCTACATTGTTTTTTTTTAACTTAGAAAATACTGGCTTCATTCCATATCAGCAAATATAGATCTTATGCTTTTTAACAAATGCATATTTGTCTATTGAATGAATGTGCTGTAATTTATTTATCTAATGTCCAGTAATCTACTGAGGGACATCTACTGTTTCCAGTTTTTTTGTCATTGTGCAAAAGGTTTTATTATATCTTTGTGACAAACTTTTCTTTCCATAGTGTCCCTCCAAATTCCTATGTTGTCACCCCACACACAATTCATATATTGAAGTCTTAAATCCTAGTATCTCAGAATGTGACTGTATTTGGAGATACATCTTTTTAAAGAGGTAATTAAGTTAAATTTAGGTGGCTATGGTGGGTCCTAATCCAATGTGACTGGTATTCTTTTACAAAAAGGAGATTAGGACATTCAGAGAGACACCACACATACACAGGCACAAAGGAGACATTGTGTAAGGAGACAGTGAGAAGGTGGTCACCTGCAAGTCAAGCAAAGAGACCTCAAGAATCAAATGTGCTGATACCTTGAAATTTGACCTTCAGAGCTGTGAGAAAGTAAATTTCTGTTGTTTAAGCCACCCAGTCTATGGTATTTTGTTATGGCAGCCCTAGCAAACTAATATACACAGCAATTCATCTACAATTATATAGTGAAAACCAATGGGAAAACAGCATTCACTATTTAGATTAAAAAAAAAGTTAGGGTTTGAAGCAAACTGCAGGCCTATATATATTTCATTTTCTGAAGTCTATTTGCATATAAGGCATCCTAAAGAAAAATGAAAGCAAACAAAATAGCATCTGGTATTGATTTCAACCCAATGGCTTTCTTTTCTTTCAATAATGCCATCACCCCCTCTAAAACCTTTACTCCTAAATCAACCTAGCCTGCTAAAGCAATTGTTTTGTCTACTTTGAATGACCGTGAGGATCAACTCCAGTACTGAGTTAGAACTGGGATTCCAACTGTTTTGCAATAGCAACATTCTTCCCTTGCTTGTTTTCTCAACTCACTCCCTATGGGGGAAATTGCTGTGTCATATACTCAAATAAACAAAATTAAATGCCTTAGGATTGACTTTCCCTGACCACCCTTTCCAGAGCCCTCAAAACTATGTTTGGAAGATCCTAGTGAAGAGGCCTAGTGTCATATTTTTAGGTCACCAGGGAATGATTTGTTATTTCCTGCTGTAATATACAGTTTTTCAGAGATAGAGTGGGGAAAGAAGGAACCACCAATCCACCAGGTACTATTCGATGCGGGTTTTCATAGCTCTGTTCATATGCATTATCCAGTTTCTCTGTGGTAGCCAATAGCTGGATAGTCTTAGAATTATTTCTGTCATATACCAGAAGAAATCATGGAGATGTGATTAAACAACGTTAGCCTTAGTAAGTTCCTGATTTGCAGTAGTTGCACTAACCTATAATAATGATACTACACTGGTCCATGTTTATTTCCAGGGGCTAAAGTTTAATGTAAATCATTTATTCTGGGTATTATCAGGTGATTAATTGCTACATTACTCAGCATATAGAGCTAGTATCAGCAGCTTTACAAGGGACGAATGACCCACAGGAGTTGTTTTTGTCACTTTCCTTCATTTTGTCATCTTAAATAACTCTCTGAAATGGCCAGGGCCCAAAGTGGCTGCTATTACTGTTTAGCTAACTACACAGCTTCAAATTCTGGGTTACAGTGAAACCGTGTGTGGATGGAACTTTCTTGCTTGTTAAACACCTATTTAATTGCTTGGTTCTAGGGCTATTTTGGTGAACAACACAGACACAAACAGGTATTGAGAAATAAAACATGACATATTAAAAGTTAAAATGAGGAAATTGCAGAAGGCTATGAACTTCCCTCATTCTGTCTTTTTTTATTCAACAAATATTGAGTGTTAACTGTATGACAGGCAACGCCCTAAGGGCTGAGGATCAAGCAAAGTACATGGAAGTAAAGAAATAGGGCTAAAAAAAGAAAATGTCCTCGGAGGGCTATTACAAATTACAGAGACAAAGCCCTAGTGAGAGTAGAGTTTAAAAAGAAACAGTCAGGGAGAGGATGAGAGAGCGAGATTAAGGACATCTATATTCCACTATTGAAGCATTATTCCTGTTCAGGACATACTATGTATAAACCATCATCTCTGTGTCCCATACAACCAATACAGCACCTGGTACGGTGTTAGTGGACTTAGACTCATACGGCCAGACTATTCACTTACTAATTTGTGGGATACTAGGCAATTACTAGACTGTCTTCAAGATTTAAGATTCCTACAGAACCACCTCATAGAATTGTTTTATTTAATAATAGCTTACAGACAGTACTTAACTATGTGCCAGGTACTATTAGGAGCAATTCAAATTTATAAACTCTCTTAATTCTTGTAACAGTCCTATGAGGTATTTGTCTTAGCTCAAGCTGACATAATAAAAATATCATAGACTGGGTGGCTTTTAAGCTGAAATTTATTTCTCATAGTTTTGGAGGTTGGAGATCTAAGATCAGGGTGCCAGCATGGTAACGGCCCTCTTCAGGGTTTCAGACTGCCAATTTTTTCTACATCCTCACATAGCAAAAGGCAAGAAGCTAAGCAAGTTCTCTAGTGACTCTTACAAGGGCACCAATCAATTATAAGGGCTCCACCTTCATGTCTTCACCTAATCCTAATCACTCCCAAGTTTGCGTCCTAATATCATATGCAAGGTGAGGTTAGGTTTCAACATATGGATTTGAGGGGGGGACACAAGCATGTAGGTCACAGCAGTATTACTCTCATTTTATATATGAGGAAAAAGGCACAGAGAACTTGAAGTCTTGCATGTAGTATCTGGCAAAACTAGGATTCTACCTTCCTCTCCAGTCTGTGCTCTTAATTACTGCCGACACTGGTTGTCAATAAATGGCACTTAAGATCACAGATGCACTCTACAGCACGGTTCTTTCTTATCTTCTACTCCATCATTTGCTGAGTATTTATCAAACCCCTATGTTGTCATGGAACTGTGATAGATAACAGGGATATAAGGGGTGACCATCTGGTTCTTGCTGTCCGTCCTGCAGTTTATAGTTAGACAAAACAAAACCTTTCCCTATTTTCTCCCATTTCTCAGTGTGTCCCTTACTCCTTCAGCCAAGAAGTTGAGTGTTGATCAAGATGAACGGATCCCGTAACAGTCTCCCTAGGTCTTCTGTATGGCTGGGGACGGGACCAGGTGGCCTTAAGGGAAGAGACAGACTGACCGCCCTCTCTGCAGTGACCTTTTGTTTTTTTCTCCCGGAGCCCCGCTTAAAAATGGAGGGGTGTGTATCAGGGTTCTTTTCAGCACTTCTCGGCTGTGATTAACCCTTTCCCCCACCGCCCGAGGCAGTTCTAACATCCCTGACCTGGCGTTCCTGTGCTTCAGGTACATTCCCGCCTCCCGCCTCCCCAGGAGACATTTCTCCCTCCTTGGAGTCGCCGTAATTCCACGTGGCTCTCCTTCTCTTCCTCCCTGGAGATGGAAGATGCGTGGTCTCCGACCTGACCCAACCCGGGCTCCACGCCCGCCCTGAGACGAGGGCCATCAGTGCCTGATCCCGTCACACGTCACCATTTTCCCTGTGGGTCTCAAGGTCTTGGCGCCCCAGTCCCGGTTCGCCCAGCCGCTGGGGCCTTTGACCCGCGTGCAGGGAGGTGGACGCTGGGGCCGGTGGTCGATGCTTCCCCCACCCCCGAGTGGCAGCGAGGCCAAGGGCGGCTCGGGAGGACCCGGGTCGCGCACAGCGCAGCTCCCAGGCGAACCTGGCGTCATTGCGCAGCGCCCAGACACAGCTCTCGGCCCCACCGCGGCCTTTGTGCTCGGCTACTCGGCCTCAAGGCCTGGTGGGCGTAGCGGCAACCGCGAGAAGCCCACATAAAATGACACCAACCTCGGATAATGTGTTTTATGTTGGGAAACAGGAAATAGGCTTGGTTTCTTTTTCCTGCGAGTGAAGAAGACTGGGAATGGGGAGAGCGTTAGTGGTAGGTGAAAGCGCGAGCCCCCGCGCGCCCGGTCACGTGGGCCTCGGGGACCGCATGGCGGCGCCCCGCGCGTCCTCGCGTCCCGGCGGGCCTGGCAGCCCGGGCGCGCGCGCCGACGGGGCGGGCGCATGCGCAGGGGGGCGCGCCGCCTCTGCCCCGCGGCTAGGGTGTCTATGGAGAGGCGGCGGCCGCTGAGGCTGAGGCTGAGGCAGTGGCAGTGGCGATGGCGCCCTTCCCCGAGGAGGTGGACGTCTTCACCGCCCCGCACTGGCGGATGAAGCAGCTGGTGGGGCTCTACTGCGACAAGGTAAAGGAGTGGGAGCCTCTTGCTCGGGCAGCGCGGGCCGAGAGGGGAGCGGGCCAGGTTCCCGGGCGGCCTGGCCTGCGCCGCGCCTGCAGCCCCCCGCGGCCGTGCCGCGCGAATTGCCGCCTGCGCAGCTGTCAGCGCCGCGCTGGCCCCGCCGCACCTTCGCCGGGATTCGGTGCCCTCGGGACTCGCGACGCGGCCCTCAGCCCGCCGCCGACGCCGCCTCCTGGCCACCCGCCGCCCTCGGGGCCGCCTCCCGCCCCTGCCGCGTCGGGGAGAGGGGCCCCTTCGCTCCCGACCGGCTGTCGGGGCCCCGCGTGGGCCATCTGCGGTGGGTTTCCCGCCCCCTGGGGCAGGCCGTTTCTGCCGCTGCCCCCCGCCCCGCCTTCCCCGTCATCACTGCCCCCTCCCGTCCCGCGGCCTGTGTGGGGCTCCTCGAGGCTCTCCGCAGCAAACACCCCTTCCATCCTTCCCAACTTCTAGCTTCTAGCTAGCTTCCTAGCCCAACGGGCAGCTTCTTCCAACTCCTCCTGCCCATTTTATGCCCCATCTTTGTCTCTAGTTTGGTTTGAGAGGAAACCCAGTTTCTTAGTTTAGGAACTAGAGGACTTTCAGTCTTCATTTGTGGTTTCCTTTTTCCTTGCAACTTTTATTGCCCTGGAGCATTTACTCCATGTACGTCTTAAGACAGCTATTCTTTGTTGGAATTCTTTGGGCTCAGAAAGCAGGGGCCTCGGAAGAAGTTTGGACTCTTAATTGATGCAGCATAAGTTGAAAAAGGGTCTTTTACAAATGATTTTAAAACAATGTTTAGATTCCACATTTTTATCCATTTATGTTAGGGAAAGTCCACATAGGGATACCTTGAAAACTTCGCGTAATAATGTTTCTTGTAGAAATGAACCAGATAAAAAGCATTTAAACAACTATTGTTTGATCACAAAAATCAACTGTTGTTAATTTTCAGAAATTACATTGCATTTAGCAGAACCACCGTTGAGAGAAAAGAGGAGTTTTTACTGGCCAGAGTGGTGGTTGGAGAATACCCTGTGTTCAGGGCTAGGCCACACTCAAGACCAACAGTTTAAAAGGCACCCACAACCATTCTTTCCCTTTCTCCATTTTGAAAATTGGAAAAATACCTGATCCTGATATAGGTTTAAATAGGACAGTGTAGGACAGTGATTCTCAACCTTGCTTGCTCATTAGAATCACCCTGAAAGCTCATGCCCAAACCACAAAAATCAGGCCCTTTGAGGGTGGGACCCAGTCAGCAAGTAAAGCTCCCTAGGTGAGTCCAGTGTTCAGCCAAGGGTGAGAACCACTTGTCCAGAAGCATAAGGAATGGGTAAGCTTCTTGTTAAGCTGTGCAGCCTTGAGTTTTTGAATTAGCTTTCTGTAGTGATTTTAACCTTCTCTGGCTTTTGAACTTAGTTATCCTGGCAGTATCCTTTAGTTGCAGGTAAGAAAAAAGGGGGAAGGCTTTTTGTACTTTCTCAGAATTGAAAAGGGAAAGTTATTGAGGACTAATGGAACCTGAGGTCTTCTCTCTAGGTTAGACTGGGGAAAGGTAGTCTGGGGATCACCTGAATTGTTAAGGAAATTTTCGTGTATGTGTATATTTTCCTAGGGAGTTTTTGGCTTTCATCAGATTTCCAAATAATTGTGACTTCCCAAATAGTTAAGAATCCCAGCTTGTATGTATTTAGTTGTACATACAAGACTAACCAGCCTTATTTAAAAAACTTGAAGTTTAAAACTAAGAAGTTAATCTTAGTGAAGAAGCCAGTCACTAAATTTGTGTGTCATTACCTGATGATTGAGAATATTAGAATAAATTTTGAAAGTACAAGTACAGTGCCATTTTTAAAAACAATACCTTAGTCAAATGAGACTCTCTCAGTAGTTAAATGTTCCCTCTTGCAGTAATTAAGAAAACATTTTAATTTGGCATAGCCAAGTCAAAATTATCACTAATTCTGAATTAATTAGATATGGTTAATGAGATTGTTGTATATATTAATCATGGAGATTAACAGTCCAGTATTCTGAACTGTGGATCAGAGACCAAGGTGATTTAGGAAAAAAAAACCTGCATAGGAATACAACATCTAGATTTCTTCTTGATACTAATGGCTAATGGAAATCTCTCCTAGGACGTCCTTTGGGAGCTAGAATGGAAAAATAAGTATTTTGTGATGATTGAATAGTCTTAAAGGACTATTTGTTTTTATTAATTTGCCATCTCAAGTTTTGCCTTCACTGTCTTTTGGTTGTATAGACCAGGGATAGCCAAGTCAAACAACCTACAGTAAAACTTTACAAAATGAGAACTAGTTTTTTATATTCAAAATAAAATGAGTTATTTCACTGTATTCCAAATGTTGATTGTGAATGCATAGTGATTATAAAAAAGTCAGTTTTATTTCCAGTATTGAACTTTTCTGGTTCAGTATATTTTAGATTTCATTTTATTTACTAGCATTGACTCAATCATTTATCATTTTAAATTAGTTTACTTAGACTAATTTATTCTGAATTTGTAGGCCATTTTAAGTATTGCTATGTAATACCAAATTTAATATTTTTCTCTTGGATTTCTTAACATTTATAAATGGTTTTATGGCTAGGTTTTTCATTGTTATCCAGAACAATAGTCCTTTGAGGTACGTAAAGACAGGGGTATTTCTGTTTTATAGCTGGGGTCTTGGAGGCCTAAATTGCTAAACAAAGTTTACATGAGCAGATAATTCCAAGTGGAAACCCAAGGATCAGGATAACGATTCCTTGTTTAATTTTTTTGTATGAAACCAGAGTAGTTTATGAAAATTTTTGGCAAAAATCTGTTAAGAAATCTTTTTACTAACTGACTGACCTTCCAAATTAGGATGATTTTAGTGAACGTTTGCATTGGATGACATCCTTTTTCTAGTTTACTCCATTCCTGTTTTTTCTCTAATCCTCAAAACTTAATGACAATTCTGCCAGTGAGAGTGGAGTTTCTACTGTCAGTTGACCCTGTAGTAATTTGTGTTTAAGATGTGAGATGTCCTTATTCTTAAGGAGTTTGCAGTCTAACATTTGTGCTACAATGGAAATCCAGATGCATTACAGTGGAAGCCAAGGAAGGTATATATATGTCTTGTAGTCTCTTTGAACTGATTTCTAAGAACAAAGTTGGTGAATGTCAGGATGGACATAGCACAGAGATTCCCAGACTAATACATAAGTGGCAGAGGCTTCATGGAGTGTCCAGTTTTTGGTAAGGATATTAAAAGTGCCATCTACTTTATTATTTTGTAAAGAGAGGACATTTTATGACCAAAGCCTTAGGGAGAAAATAAGCTTAAATTGGATTATGAAGAATTTATACATACAATAGCTTTATGAAAAATGAGTTTCCTATTTCTCTGCATGCCTATAAAACTTACTGACCAGTATTAGGAAGATTGGTCAATTGGAGAGAATACTGAATTGATAGCTAGGAGAGGAAGGAAAAGGGAATTAAATGAGTTCTTACTACATGCTTATGTTATTTAAATCCTCATTAGAGCCCTGCGAGGCAAGTATGATCTGTCATTTAAAGGTGAGGAAACAGACTTAGTGCTAAGTAACCAGTTCACTCACATAATAATTAGGGAAGCCTGAATTTTAATCTTAGGAATTTTTTCCCCATATGAAACCCATGAGTTTTTTTTTTTTTTTTGCATTACCTTACTGGTTCTGCTGCTTATTACTAGTTATAATATAATTTTATGCAAAACATTTCAGCTGTTTTTTTTCGATCTGTAAAGTTATTTTGACCAGTGACGAAGGTTTCTTCATTGAGTGTAAATCTCCTTTGGTTAAATGAAAGTCTGGCTGAGTAAACAAAAAGTAAAAACATTTGGGGTAATAGTGTTTGGGATTTTGTTTGCTATTTTTCATGTCTAATTTTGATCATAGTCTTTTAAGTAATAGTTTTTCAAATCAGTTTGATGCCAGTCTAAGATTTTAGGTTGTAGAGTATTTCAGATAGAAAGTCAGTTATTAATTCTTTTAAAATATGGGAGATACCATGTTACTGCTTGTTACTGTTTGTTGATTATGTGTATTTTGTTCTACATAGGATCCTGTTGAATTTGCCAGGCATCAAAGTATACAAGTTTATAGGTCACTTAGGAACTTTGAAATCCTACTGTAGAACATGTTTTTCAGAGCGTGTCCTGTGACCCATTAGTGGGTCATGAAATCAGTTTTGTGGGTCAGAAACAGCATTTTAAAAATGAAATGGGAAAGGAAATATTAGAGTATATCACAGGTTAGAGAGGGAAATACCGTTCCCTGAAATTTGTTTGAAATGTTTGTGGTATGTGTGTGTAGGTTGTGCTGTATTTCATAGTGAAGGTTATGGTTAAACATGTTCCTTCAGAGCAGCATTTCTCAGCCACAGCCCTGTTGACATTTTGGGCCAGGTAATTCTTTGTTGTTGGGGACTGTCCTGTGCATTGTGCGATGTTTAGCAGGATTCCTGACTTTTACCCACTAGATGGTAGTAGGACTTCTGCAGCAATGACAATCAAGAGTGTTGCCAGACTTTGGCCCTTAGTTCCTGGGGGGCAAAATTGACCCCTGGTGAGAACTGTTGTTTTAGAGCAGGCATTCTTTTGGAGTCTCTACTCTGTTGAATCTGAAAAGGGTAGTTTTATGATTGGGAATAGCATTGTATCCTGTGGAAAGAAGGTAGGTTTTAGAGTTAGACATTGTATCTGTTTTGCTGTCTGTTGGTTATATAATTTTGAGTAAGTTATTTTCTCTGAGCCTCAGGTTTTTTACCTATAAAAAGGGAATTATAATACCTACTTCTTAGGGTTATTGCTAATAATATCTAAAACTACATAGAATAGTACCTAACACATCATAGGCCTCAGTATGTATGTCCCGGATATTGTTAGTGTCTGGGTTTATTTTTTTCTCAACCAAATCTTTATCATTGGATAACTTTGTAGAAGCAAACAGAT